TTTATTTTTTTTTATTTATATATGAAATTTATTGTCAAATTGGTTTCCATACAACACCCAGTGCTCATCCCAAAAGGTGCCCTCCTCAATACCCATCACCCACCCTCTCCTCCCTCCCACCCCCCATCAACCCTTAGTTTGTTCTCAGTTCTCAACAGTCTCTTATGCTTTGGCTCTCTCCCACTCTAACCTCTTTTTTTTTTTTTTCCTTCCCCTCCCCCATGGGTTCCTGTTAAGTTTCTCAGGATCCACATAAGAGTGAAACCATGTGGTATCTGTCTTTCTCTGTATGGCTTATTTCACTTAGCATCACACTCTCCAGTTCCATCCACGTTGCTACAAAAGGCCATATTTCATTTTTTCTCATTGCCACGTAGTATTCCATAGTGTATATAAACCACAATTTCTTTATCCATTCATCAGTTGATGGACATTTAGGCTCTTTCCATAATTTGGCTATTGTTGAGAGTGCTGGTATGAACATTGGTGTACAAGTGCCCCTATGCATCAGTACTCCTGTGTCCCTTGGATAAATTCCTAGCAGTGCTATTGCTGGGTCATAGGGTAGGTCTATTTTTAATTTTCTGAGGAACCTCCACACTGCTTTCCAGAGAGGATGCACCAATTTGCATTCCCACCAACAGTGCAAGAGGGTTCCCGTTTCTCCACATCCTCCCCAGCATCTATAGTCTCCTGATTTGCTCATTTTGGCCACTCTGACTGGCGTGAGGTGATACCTGAGTGTGGTTTTGATTTGTATTTCCCTGATAAGGAGCGACGCTGAACATCTTTTCATGTGCCTGTTGGCCATCCGGATGTCTTCTTTAGAGAAGTGTCTATTCATGTTTTCTGCCCATTTCTTCACTGGGTTATTTGTTTTACGGGTGTGGAGTTTGGTGAGCTCTTTCTAGATTTTGGATACTAGCCCTTTGTCCGATATGTGATTTGCAAATATCTTTTCCCATTCCGTTGGTTGCCTTTTAGTTTTGTTGGTTGTTTCCTTTGCTGTGCAGAAGCTTTTTATCTTCATAAGGTCCCAGTAATTCACTTTTGCTTTTAATTCCCTTGCCTTTGGGGATGTGTCGAGTAAGAGATTGCTACGGCTGAGGTCAGAGAGGTCTTTTCCTGCTTTCTCCTCTAAGGTTTTGATGGTTTCCTGTCTCACATTCAGGTCCTTTATCCATTTTGAGTTTATTTTTGTGAATGGTGTGAGAAAGTGGTCTAGTTTCAACCTTCTGCATGTTGCTGTCCAGTTTTCCCAGCACCATTTGTTAAAGAGACTGTCTTTTTTCCATTGGATGTTCTTTCCTGCTTTGTCAAAGATGAGTTGGCCATACGTTTGTGGGTCTAGTTCTGGGGTTTCTATTCTATTCCATTGGTCTATGTGTCTGTTTTTGTGCCAATACCATGCTGTCTTGATGATGACAGCTTTGTAGTAGAGGCTAAAGTCTGGGATTGTGATGCCTCCTGCTTTGGTCTTCTTCTTCAAAATTACTTTGGCTATTCGGGGCCTTTTGTGGTTCCATATGAATTTTAGGATTGCTTGTTCTAGTTTCGAGAAGAATGCTGGTGCAATTTTGATTGGGATTGCATTGAATGTGTAGATAGCTTTGGGTAGTATTGACATTTTGACAATATTTATTCTTCCAATCCATGAGCAGGGAATGTCTTTCCATTTCTTTAAATCTTCTTCAATTACCTTCATAAGCTTTCTATAGTTTTCAGCATACAGATCCTTTACATCTTTGGTTAGATTTATTCCTAGGTATTTTATGCTTCTTGGTGCAATTGTGAATGGGATCAGTTTCTTTATTTGTCTTTCTGTTGCTTCATTGTTAGTGTATAAGAATGCAACTGATTTCTGTACATTGATTTTGTATCCTGCAACTTTGCTGAATTCATGTATCAGTTCTAGCAGACTTTTGGTGGAGTCTGTCGGATTTTCCATGTATAATATCATGTCATCTGCAAAAAGCGAAAGCTTGACTTCATCTTTGCCAATTTTGATGCCTTTGATTTCCTTTTGTTGTCTGATTGCTGATGCTAGAACTTCCAGCACTATGTTAAACAACAGCGGTGAGAGTGGGCATCCCTGTCGTGTTCCTGATCTCAGGGAAAAAGCTCTCAGTTTTTCCCCGTTGAGGATGATGTTAGCTGTGGGCTTTTCATAAATGGCTTTTATGATCTTTAAGTATGTTCCTTCTATCCCGACTTTCTCAAGGGTTTTTATTAAGAAAGGGTGCTGGATTTTGTCAAAGGCCTTTTCTGCATCGATTGACAGGATCATATGGTTTTTCTCTTTTTTTTTTTTGTTAATATGATGTATCACGTTGATTGATTTGCGAATGTTGAACCAGCCCTGCATCCCAGGAATGAATCCCACTTGATCATGGTGAATAATTCTTTTTATATGCTGTTGAATTCGATTTGCTAGTATCTTATTGAGAATTTTTGCATCCATATTCATCAGGGATATTGGCAGGTAGTTCTCTTTTTTTAATGGGTCTCTGTCTGGTTTAGGAATCAAAGTAATACTGGCTTCATAGAATGAGTCTGGAAGTTTTCCTTCCCTTTCTATTTCTTGGAATAGCTTGAGAAGGATAGGTATTATCTCTGCTTTATTTTATTTATTTATTTTTTTTAATTTTTTTTTCAACATTTATTTATTTTTCGGACAGAGAGAGACAGAGCATGAACGGGGGAGGGGCAGAGAGAGAGGGAAACACAGAATCGGAAACAGGCTCCAGGCTCTGAGCCACCAGCCCAGAGCCCGACGCGGGGCTCGAACTCACGGACCGCGAGATCGTGACCTGGCTGAAGTCGGACGCTCAACCGACTGCGCCACCCAGGCGCCCCTATTATCTCTGCTTTAAACGTCTGGTAGAACTCCCCTGGGAAGCCATCTGGTCCTGGACTCTTATTTGTTGGGAGATTTTTGATAACCGATTCAATTTCTTCGCTGGTGATGGGTCTGTTCAAGCTTTTTATTTCCTCCTGATTGAGTTTTGGAAGAGTGTGGGTGTTCAGGAATTTGTCCATTTCTTCCAGTTTGTCCAATTTATTGGCATATAATTTTTCATAGTGTTCCCTGATAATTGTTTGTATCTCTGAGGGATTGGTTGTAATAATTCCATTTTCATTCTTGATTTTATCTATTTGGGTCATCTCCCTTTTCTTTTTGAGAAGCCTGGCTAGAGGTTTGTCCATTTTGTTTATTTTTTCAAAAAACCAAGTCTTGGTTTTGTTGATCTGCTCTACAGTTTTTTTAGATTCTATATTGTTTATTTCTGCTCTGATCTTTATTATTTCTCTTCTTCTGCTGCGTTTAGGCTGCCTTTGCTGTTCTGCTTCTATTTCCTTTAGGTGTGCTGTTAGATTTTGTATTTGGGATTTTTCTTGTTTCTTGAGATAGGCCTGGATTGCAATGTATTTTCCTCTCAGGACTGCCTTCGCTGCGTCCCAAAGCGTTTGGATTGTTGTATTTTCATTTTCGTTTGTTTCCATATATTTTTTAATTTCTTCTCGAATTGCCTGGTTGACCCACTCATTCGTTAGTAGGGTGTTCTTTAACCTCCATGCTTTTGGAGGTTTTCCAGACTTTTTTCTGTGGTTGATTTCAAGCTTCATAGCATTGTGGTCTGAAAGTATGCATGGTATGATTTCAATTCTTGTAAACTTATGAAGGGCTGTTTTGTGACCCAGTATATGATCTATGTTGGAGAATGTTCCATGTGCACTCGAGAAGAAAGTATATTCTGTTGCTTTGGGATGCAGAGTTCTAAATATATCTGTCAAGTCCATCTGATCCAATGTCTCGTTCAGGGCCCTTGTTTCTTTATTGACCGTGTGTCTAGATGATCTATCCATTTCTGTAAGTGGGGTGTTAAAGTCCCCTGCAATTACCACATTCTTATCAATAAGGTTGCTTGTGTTTATGAGTAATTGTTTTATATATTTGGGCGCTCCGGTATTCGGCGCATAGACATTTATAATTGTTAGCTCTTCCTGATGGATAGACCCTGTCACTATTATATAATGTCCTTCTTCATCTCTTGTTACAGCCTTTAATTTAAAGTCTAGTTTGTCTGATATAAGTATGGCTACTCCAGCTTTCTTTTGGCTTCCAGTAGCATGATAAATAGTTCTCCATCCCCTCACTCTCAATCTAAAGGTGTCCTCAGGTCTAAAATGAGTCTCTTGTAGACAGCAAATAGATGGGTCTTGTTTTTTTATCCATTCTGATACCCTATGTCTTTTGGTTGGCGCATTTAATCCATTTACATTCAGTGTTATTATAGAAAGATATGGGTTTAGAGTCATTGTGATGTCTGTATGTTTTATGCTTGTAGTGACGTCTCTGGTACTTTGTCTCACAGGGTCCCCCTTAGGATCTCTTGTAGGGCTGGTTTAGTGGTGACAAATTCCTTCAGTTTTTGTTTGTTTGGGAAGACCTTTATCTCTCCTTCTATTCTAAATGACAGACTTGCTGGATAAAGGATTCTCGGCTGCCTATTTTTTCTGTCTAGCACACTGAAAATCTCGTGCCAATTCTTTCTGGCCTGCCAAGTTTCAAAAGAGAGATCAGTCACGAGTCTTATAGGTCTCCCTTTATATGTGAGGGCACGTTTACCCCTTGCTGCTTTCAGAATTTTCTCTTTATCCTTGTATTTTGCCAGTTTCACTATGATATGTCGTGCAGAAGATCGATTCAAGTTCCGTCTGAAGGGAGTTCTCTGTGCCTCTTGGATTTCAATGCCTTTTTCCTTCCCCACTTCAGGGAAGTTCTCAGCTATTATTTCTTCAAGTACCCCTTCAGCACCTTTCCCTCTCTCTTCCTCCTCTGGGATACCAATTATGCGTATATTATTTCTTTTTAGTGTATCACTTAGTTCTCTAATTTTCCCCTCATACTCCTGGATTTTTTTATCTCTCTTTTTCTCAGCTTCCTCTTTTTCCATAACTTTATCTTCTAGTTCACCTATTCTCTCCTCTGCCTGTTCAATCTGAGCCGTGGTGGTTTCCATTTTGTTATGCATTTTGTTTAAAGCGTTTTTCAGCTCCTCGTGACTGTTCCTTAGTCCCTTGATCTCTGTAGCAAGAGATTCTCTGCTGTCAGCTATACTGTTTTCAAGCCCAGCGATTAATTTTATGACTATTATTCTAAATTCACTTTCTGTTATATTATTTAAATCCCTTTTGATCAGCTCATTAGCTGTTGTTATTTTCTGGAGATTCTTCTGAGGGGAATTCTTCCGCTTGGTCATTTTGGATAGTCCCTGGCATGGTGAGGACCTGCAGGGCACTTCCCCTGTGCTGTGGTGTATAACTGGAGATGGTGGGCGGAGCCGCAGTCAGACCTGATGTCTGCCCCCAGCCCACCGCTGGGGCCACAGTCAGACTGGTGCGTGCCTTCTCTTCCCCTCTCCTAGGGGCGGGATTCACTGTGGGGTGGGGTGGCCTGTCTGGGCTACTTGCACACTGCCAGGCTTGTGATGCTGGGGATCTGGCGTCTTAGCTGGGGTGGGTAGGCACGGTGCACAGGGGCAGGAGGGGCAGGCTTAGCTTGCTTCTCCTTAGGTGATCCACTTCAGGAGGGGCCCTGTGGCAGCAGGAGGGAGTCAGATCCGCTGCCGGAGGTTTGGCTCCGCAGAAGCGCAGAGTTGGGTGTTTGCGAGGAGCGAGCAAGTTCCCTGGCAGGAACTGGTTCTCTTTGGGATTTTGGCTGGTGGATGGGCGGGGGAGATGGCGCTGGCGAGCGACTTTGTTCCCCACCAAACTGAGCTCTGTCGTCAGGGGTCTCAGCAGCTCTCCTTCCCTTTGTCCTCCAGCCTTCCCGCTTTCTGAGCAGAGCTGTTAACTTATGACCTCCCAGACGCTAAGTTGCGCTTGCTGTCGGAACACAGTCCGTCAGGCCCCTCCACTTTTTGTAAGCCAGACTCGGGGGCTCTGCTTGGCCGGCGAGCCGCCCCTCCGCCCCGGCTCCCTCCTGCCAGTCCGTGGAGCGCGCACCGCCTCGCCGCCCTTCCTACCCTCTTCCGTGGGTCTCTCGTCTGCACTTGGCTCCGGCGACTCCGTTCTGCTAATCCTCTGGCGGTTCTCTGGGTTATTTAGGCAGGTGTAGGTGGAATCTAAGTGATCAGCAGGATGCGCAGTGAGCCCAGCATCCTCCTACGCCACCATCTTCCCTCTCCTCTCTGTATAACTTTTCAATGGAATATTACCCAGCAGTAAAGAGTGGACTATTGATACATGCAACAACTTGCATAAATTTCCAGGGAATTTTACAATGAAAAAAGCCATTCTTAAAGGTTACATACTGTATTATTGCTTCCATAAATATAATATTCTTAAAATGAGAAAATTATAGAAATGGATAACCAATTGGTGGCTGTCAGGGGTTAAGGAGAGTGTGAGTGCAGGAGGGAGGTAGTTTTGGCTATAAAAGGGCCCCATGAGGCATCCTTATGCTGATTGAAATGTTTTTTTATCCTGAACATATCAAAGTCAATACCCTGGGTGTGATATTGTACTATGATTTTGTAAGATGTTGCTGTTGAGAGGAAACTGTGTGATGTGTAGACAGAATATCTCTGCATCATTTCTTGTAACTGTATGTGAATCAACAATTATCTCACAATAAAAACTTTTAAAGATTCTACCCACCCAACAAGAATAAAGATTTTTCACCCCAGGATAATTTCAAAGGATGAGCTCAATGGTACAAAAGCAATTCTGAAAAGAGTTGTGGCAGTGCCTGGTGCAGAGGTGACAAGAGTAGGACCATGTGCAGCCTCCCAGGGACTCTTGGGAATGGCCACTCCTTGCCCAGGTCAGCTCTGGCTGACCTGAATGTGCTGGCTGAATGGCTGGTCTCATCACCTTGGCATGGCTTTGTGTAAAAGGGAAGAATATGGTGCTGGAGGATCCCATCCACACTTTCACCTGTCTTTCAGCATCTTGGGAGTCTGGGACACTATCCCAGGATGGGCACGATTAGCTCTGAAAGGACCCATTTGAGTCACATGATCAAGTGAAATGGAAGGAACTTAGTGAGTATGAGTGTTGCATACATTCATGTTGTGTGTGCATAAAAACAACATTTCCATTGGGCCAGCAAGGTGTTGTCCAGGTGCCTTCACATGCATGATTCCATTGAACTTTCATGACAATCCCATGATTCAGGCCTTATCATTACCATTTTACAGATGAGGATATGGAGGCTTGGTAAGGTAAAGTGACTTACCTTAGGTTGCATAACGAGGGAGTAGCATAGTTAGTGTTGAAACCAGGTTTTTCTGGCCTTAAAGCTATGGTGCTTCCAGCTCATCATGTGCAATCTCCATGAGGAAGCAAGATAGGAAAGAAACCTAAGGATTTTTTTTTCCTTTCTGAACCCAAGTTTTAAGCTGGTAATTTGAATGACAGTGGAATTGAAGAAAAGCTGTGTCAGGGAATCTTTCTGAACAAAAATAAAAAAGAATCGTTTTGAAGCCAAAGTCATACTGATTTCTCTGGCCTTTATCAGGACCTTTCTCTGGTTCCCCTTCATGCTGACATCTGTCTGGCACTTGGTTCCAAGTCCTAAGGACAGAGTGTATGGGATGTGCTGCACACATGCTCTGCTGGCCTGTTACCTCTGTGCTCACCCTGCTCCCTCTCCTGGGCTTGCCTCTGGGGCCCAAAGCCGGAGACCATTAGGTATCTAGATGCTTCTCAGCAGTGTGGGGGCAGATGGGAAGGGGTGGCTCCCTTGGAGCAGTGGCCTTCAGAGCTCCTCTACCTCACCTTTTCTCTTCTTAGTGGAGAGGGAACTTGGTAGAACAAATGAGCAAGACTAAGATGTAACAACATAGTGAGTATTTAAAAACATGCAGTGATTACACAACAGTAGCATGAAAAAAGTCATCCCTAATAGTAAATTACTAAAATAATGACTGGCATAAGAATAGCAGCAACTGAAAAAGTCATGTATTTACAATTTCATTTATCAAGTGTTATCACTACTCACTGTGCTAAGCATTTTGCATGGGTTATGTCTTTTAGTTCACCGAAACCCACAAGGTGGGTACTATTATTATTTAAACTTTAAACAGAAAGAAATGAAGATACAGAGAGAAATTAAGTCACTTCTCAAGGTCCCACAGTACAGGAGAGCCCAGATTTCAAGTCCAGGTAAGCTGACTCCAGAACCTTCTCTTAATCACACTCTGCTACAACTAAAAACAATATTGATGATGCCTGATACTGTTAAAAGCAGTTAGGTAGGTTCTAACAGAGTATAGCTGGAGGCCAGAAAAGAGGAAGTCACGGCCAGCCATCTGGAAAGTCAGAGGCCTGTCCTGCCACATTCTATAAGAAGTTGGATTAAACCTGACAGGCCCAAGATGGCAGGTGCCATGACAGGAAACCCTGACCAAATAAAGAAGAAAAGGCATGAAACCCTGCATCCAAGAAATCCCTGCTCCAAGTGATGAATATACTACCCCCTAGTTAACAACTGTCAATAAAATATAGAAAACCCAAACCCCAGGGCATGATGCTCTCTCCCTCAAGCTCGCCTGCTCTCACATCTAGACGGTGTATTTTCATACTTTCGCTTCAGTAATCTTTCCTGCTTGTTGCGCTTGTAAGCTCTGTGTGTTGTGACTGTCCTTGAATTCTTTCTCCTGATGAGATTTAAGAATCTTTGGCAACATCTTTGGGAGGAGCTGAGTCGAGGCCTCAGGGCCTGGGGTCTCCCTAGATCACTTGGTAACAGTACGAGAGTATCCTCATCACTGATTGAGCAGTAGAAGCTTTGTGACCTTTCCAAGTGTTGCACGGCAGTCAGGCTTCTCAGAATTCTGACTTAGAGTGTGTTATAAACTATAGTGAACTGCTAATTTAAATTTTGAATACCAAACTCCACTCACTCAGTAGATTATGTTAAGAAGCCTTTTGATGTAGGTAAATATTGGAAGTTTCTTGAATTGAGCAGAATTCTGATATCTAAACAAATGATTTGTATTTTTATATGTATGGAGCCATTAAGGAAGTCCTAGGAGCCCCAGAGTGTACAGTGAGAAACATTGATATATAAGACTGAGTCAGGATTTCTGGAAAGACCATTTTCCTAGTGCCCTTTCTGAGGAAATTCCTAGGGACTGGGTAGAAGCAATCCTCCAGAAATTTTACTCCCAGCCAGAAGACTGGGAATTTTCTCAGCTTATTGAAAAAAGGCAGAGCAATTGTGTTGCTAACTGCAATGGTCAGTGCGTCCAGCCTAGACCCTAACTTAGGACTAGGTCTTATGGAATAGGTTGAGTTATACTTTGAAGCCCAAGAACCTGCAAATATGCATGCCTGGACAAGGAGTGAGGGCAATGCCTCACCATTAAGTTAATCATATTTTCCCTGATACCTGGAGAGACCCCTACGGTGTATAATACTTAAATATAGATGGTCTCAGGATCTTTTAGAAGGGGTTTCAGTAATTAAACAAAATAGAAATTTCATTGAGTTTCAACATTTCCCATTTGTAATTATCCTCTTGAAGTCCCTTTGTAATTATTCTTTTTAAAAAAATACTTCTACATTAGCATATTCAATCTAAATTTTTTAATTAGATGGTTTGCTCAAATTAAAGATGAATAAGTTTCCTATGTAACCCTTCAAAAAGATTGTTTTGTGCTTCGATACACCGATGGAAAGAACACCAAAAAGCAAGGGAGGAAGATAGGATTATGCAGACACTGCCAGATAATGATGCAAATTTCATATCCATGCTTTAAGACCTTCTAGCTTTATGTCACAGGCAAACATCAAACTGGGCAGTTTATATTTTGCCAGTTGCCCCTAGCTAGGCTGTTCATTGATTTGTTGAGTTCCTACAGTGTGCCAGACACTTACTAGGAGCATTGTGGAACAAAAGTAGCAAGTGTCAACAACTTTTGCGAGCTTGTGGTTTTGTGGAGAGACAAGTTTGAGTTTCAAACTGAAATTAGCATCAAAGGAAGCAAAGTAATATGGTTTCATGAGAGAGTGTGCAAAAGAGTATTGGGAGATCATTCTTAATGGCTCCTTCATGTTTCTGAATGTCTTGCAACAGCCTTTGTTCTGGACTTTCTCTCCAAGAACATTTCTATAGCAAACAGTCTGAGAAGGTAGAGATAGCATCCTCCTCTGGAGCAGAGAGCAGCATTGTTTCCTGACCAGTGTAGGAAAAATGTCTCCCTCTGGGCAAAGATTGGGCAGGTGTGCTAGTAGTCCCCCTTATTCTTATAAGAATCCCCCAGTCTTTTGGGGGGTTCCTGTGGTGCCTGGGTGGCTGCAGTTAAGCATCTGACTTTGGCTCAGGTCATGATCTCGTGGTTAGTGAGTTCAAGGACCGTGTTGGGCTCTGAGCCCGGAGCCAGGAGCCGGGAGCCTGCTTGGAGTTCTGTGTCTCTGTCTCTCTCTGCCCCTCCCCCACTCGCATTCTGTCTCTCTGTCTGTCTCTCTCAAAAATAAATAAATATTTAAAAAATTTAACAAAGAGTCTCTTATGGTTTGGCTCCCTCCCTCTCTAACTTTTTTTTTCCCCTTCCTCTCCCCCATGGTCTACTGTTAAGTTTCTCCGGATCCACATAAATTGAGGGTTGATGGGGGGTGGGAGAGAGGGGAAAGTGGGTGATGGGCACTGAGGAGGACACCTGTTGGAATGACCACTGGGTGTTATATGGAAACCAATTTGACAATAAGGTTCATATTAAAAAAATAATAAAAAAATAAAATAAATTTAATAAAAAGATTGGGGGATTCCTAAGATTGGGGTTCCTTACATGTGATGCAAACCCACCACATGCACAGTATCCATTGGGGCTACTCTGCATCCCCTTGCATGGGACTGTAGTTTAGGGATTAAGGGGCGCTGATTCAAATATGGGGCTCATGCTGCTTGCTGTGCATTTGGTAATGAAGTCCTTTGTCTCTGATCTATGAATCTTGTGTCTTCTGTCAGCGTCCATGAAATGGTGGCAACCTAACTGGTTAGTGTGCAAGTAGGGTCAATTCCCAGGTCTTCTACAACTCTTGGCACAAGTGGGAGTAGGACTTTTCCTTTGTCTTCCTCCTCCTCTTCTTTTCCCTCTCCTATTTTCACTTCTACCTTCCTCTTATCCTTCCCCTCCTCCTTTTTAACATATACATGTCCAACATTTTTGGTGCGTGTGCGTGTGAAAGGAATGAATTTTGGGGAGAGGAAAACATGGGATCAGGGGAGAAGTATGGGATAGAAAAAAATACAAATGTAAGTTGCTTTGATAATTGTTTTATAATCATAACAAACAAGTAGAGAGAATGCCTGTACAAAACAACATAATAAAGGTTTGAAGATGGAGGTCTTCCCTTAGCAAGACCTGAAGATTTCAGTGTCTGGCGTTTGGACCTTAGGCTGTAGTCCTTGTTTTTGGATGGATCATTGGGAGTATGGTACTCAATTTGTTGCTGCTGTGGCTTTTTCTAAGAACAAGTGAAAGTCCCTCAGGGTCTGTCAGTGGGACAGTTACATATACTAGTGATGACATCTCTTCTTTCTCCTTCTGAGGAGACTGCTCAGCCTTCCCATTTTTCTGACATGGATGGAGAAGGTCTGTCCTGGTTTCAGAAGCTTAGCCACAGAACTTTATGTCCATAACACTGGTTCACAACTTCTCACCTCTTGGTGGTTCCTTTCTCACAGGGTAGAACAGACATTTCATGTTTTCTGGGAAGCACCTGAGTATGGTGGTAAGACTCCTCTAGAGGGAACTCAGGATCATAGTGAGAGATGAAAACTAAACCAAAGCTGATCCATGGTGTTCTGCTGCTGATGGATACCTCTAGGACTTTTCTGTCAAGTCCTTCTGATGTAGAAGTATTGAACAGTCAGGGACTGGATTCAAGTCACTGATAGGATAGGCAAATCTCTTAAACCTCTCTGAGACTCAGTTTCCAATTCTATGAAGTGGACCTCTCAACAGGGACATATGCAATTAGCTTAAATGTATGATAATAGACATCCAATGATAGGCAGCCCCAAGTTGTCACTGTTCTCAGGGGCTTAGTCTCCTTACCTTTCTGTCTACCTGCTAAGTGGTTGCCATTCCCAATGTCATCTCATGGTCTAAGAGAGTTTCTGGAAATCCAGTCCTCTTCTCTGACTTTCAGGAGATAGGACAAAGGGAAAGAGCAAAAAGGTCATGGCCACCCCCCACCCCCCAATGGAATCAGCTCCAAGGGAGGCTGAGAAATGTAATCTTTCACTTAGACCATAGGTATTCTGTTACTAAGGGCAGCATGGTGGGAGAAGATGGGTACTGGGTGGACTTGGTTGGGTGTAGGGAATACTGGTCAATGTGACAGAGGTGGGGGATGTTGTCCAAGGCAAATGTATTTTTCCTACAGTGACTTGGCATTTTGTTTTTTTATTCTGCCAGTTAGTGGACATAAACATATTTTGCCCCTTATAAGGGACTTTTTTTTGAGGATCTGTTTGGTCCAGCGTGGGAGATAGGAGGTTTATATGGAAGACAAACAACGCAGCTGGCAGCTGGGTGCACATGATAAATTACTGCCAGGCTGTGGGTAACAGCAAACGAGCTCTGAGTAGTAATTCTCATCTCTCCTCCTCTTTTATGAACACAAGGCCACACAAAGCCCTTCACAATGACAGTTGTTTTAGCACCAAGGTTCAGGGTGGCTGACTTCTGGAGAATTTCAGAATAGAATGTTATTTGCCATTTCTCTTATTTGGAAAATGCAACTGGGACAAGATATTGACGTTCTGATGGGAAATAGCAATAAGGCTCAAGATGTTTCCCACTGCCTTCTCTTTTATCCTTCATACTCAGACAATCAAGAATATTGGTGTTGTTCTTTTTCTTTCTTTTTCTTTCAAATATTCTCTGCCTTCATCCTTTCCTCTCTGGTCACATTGCTAATGGGTCTGGACCACTCCCTTTCACAACCCCACATGTATCCACTCATCTTAACTAACCTACCCACCCTGTAGAGCAAGATCTTCATTAAATATACTTTTCATTCTGGGGGCACCTGTGTGACTCAGTGGGTTGAGCATCCAACTTTGGATCAAGTCATGATCTCGGGTTTGTGAGTTTGAACCCCACATCTGGCTCTCTGCTGTCAATGCGAAGCCCTCTTTGGATCTTCTGTCTCCCACTCTCTCTGTTCCTCTGCAGCTGTTCTCTCTCTCAAAAATAAATAAGAACTTTTATATATATATATATATGTATATATATATGTGTATATATATATACATATATATGTATGTATATATATATATATATATATATATATATTTATATATATACTTGTATGTATATATTTTTTTCTTCTGTTCCCCACCTGGTCAGAACCCTTCTACTACTTCTTTTTACATGAAATTATCCATTTATTCATAGGCATTTGTTATGGTTACTCAGACATAGGAGTGTTAGATCTCTCTGTAAGATGGCAAGCTTTGGCTTTATGTTTTTACGTTGCTGAAAAAGATTGTTAATTTTAACATTTCTACCCCCTGCCGCCAGTAGAATAATGGCCTATTTTGTCTTTTATGTGGATTATTTCATATATTTTGTACAGCCCTATAGTTTTTCTGATGTGTGTGTGTATGTGTATGTCTTTCTTCTTGGCAGTTGGGTAGGAGTGTACTCCTGTCCCATTGCTACACTCATTTCTTCATTCATTCACTTATTACTCTAACAAGCATTCCCCTCCACCCCAGCTTTCAATTCACCAGGCATTGTGGTAGTTGCTGAATTTTTATCTGTATTACTGTTGCAGTGGCATTGCTCAAGTTGATATAGATTGCTCTTGCCCCAATTTACTTATCTAAATTCTATGACCTTTCAAAGCCCAATTATAATTTATTTTTAAATTTTTTTTTCAACGTTTATTTATTTTTGGGACAGAGAGAGACAGAGCATGAACGGGGGAGGGGCAGAGAGAGAGGGAGACACAGAATCGGAAACAGGCTCCAGGCTCCGAGCCATCAGCCCAGAGCCTGATGCAGGGCTCGAACTCACAGACCGCGAGATCATGACCTGGCTGAAGTCTGACGCTTAACCGACTGCGCCACCCAGGCGCCCCAGCCCAATTATAATTTAAATGCTACCAGGAGTTAACCCCCCACCTCCACTCCTCCATCACTCAAAGATTGATTCTGAATGTCTATAGGAGTGTGATGCAAATATATTAGTAACAGCTCTTTGAGTGTAAGTGACAGTAACCTAACTCAACTTACTTAAGCCAAAAGGGGTTATATAAACTCTCATAGCCAAATTGTGGGAAAGGCAAGAGCTGACCCTTGGGGTTACTTGGAGTAAGGAAATTGAAAGATCTCAGGGGTCTCTTTGTTTTCCTCTCTTTATTTCTTACCTTTATTTCTTACCTCTGTCTGGCAAGCTTGTTTCTCTTTACTTCTAGAGCACACTAATGGGCCATTGGGTAATGTTGGAATATGACCTATATAAGCTTTGGATTTATACCCTATGGCTTTGTAATCAGAGAAGGAAAAGATCCCAAGGAAAGATTTTGTTGGTTGATTCTGATGATCCCACGGCCATCTCTGTGGCCAGTTACTCTAAGAAAGGGGCATGGTATGTGGGTTAACAGAAGTAGTAGCCACTACAAAGATTATTTTAAAAAAATTGACCTAGTCTTGTTTTGCAAAAGATAAAGAGAGACTCTTGTGTTTGTTATTCTTGTTCCTTCTGTGTTAATTATCACCTGCAGCTTAATGCACAATTCCTGAGGGAGGAAATCACACCTTGTATTCTGTTAGGTCAGATCTGGCTCTAATTAATGTGAGGAAGAGCTAGGATAGGATTCATTAGACCCACCCACTCCGCAGAAAGACACAGATCATAAAGGGCCACTGGGATCTTATTTTTAGTTGAGGATCCTAGAGCTCTTGGGCCTCCAAGTCACAGAGTTTTCAAACACTGTCAACAGCAGCATGTCCCCAAGGCATCTGGAAGTTGCTGCAGATCTACTCCAGGTTAAGTTGGAATCAGCAAGTATGAATTTTAGTCCTCCTTGGTCATAGAGACAGCCTGAGCTGTGCTCATGGCCTCGGTGAACCCAGACTCATGACAGTTGTTTTTTTTCCAGTGTTTCTGCCCAAAGGGCTCCTAAGGGGTGACTGTTCACTCAGCACCTCTCATGGGCCTTTCTTCTAGTTAGAGTCACCCAAAAGCCAATCTGCTTTAGGACAATCCATGGAACTGGTCACCAGGACTGATCAAGGTGGGTAAGGAGGGCCATTTGAGATGAGCCTCTCAGTGAGAGTTTTGTGATTGAGGCCATGAGGTATGATGGCCAAGTCTGAGAACAGACTACTGTTCAAGTCTTTTCTCTACAACTTATTAGCTTTGAGAGATTTCATTGTTTATCTTTGTGGGTCCCAGTTTCCCGAGAAGTAAGCTGAGGATAATCGAGCATACTGTTAAAGCTGTCATAATCTTCACAGCCACTGAACAATTAGACCAATCACAGTAGACATCAGCCATAGCCCTGGAGCAAGGATCTGGGACCCTCTGCTGGGATCTGGGACCAATCCTTTAGTTGCTGAATATGAAGAGTCTAAAGGGTCCTAA